CTCTCTCTCTCGTTTTTTAAACACTCAGGCATATATATTAATTTACACCACCAAAGGGCACAGTCTGAAAGTCTGCCTCCTGGCCACCAGCTCTCAGTCCCTCTCCTCCCATGAATCTAGAATCCTCAGCTGCTCCCTCTCTCCATGTCCCCATCTCTGCCTCCATCTCTAGTGTCGCTGCTTCTCTGGATAAGGTCCGGCATTCTGCTTGTGCGCTTCTCCCTTGATGGTCCTAGGACCCTTTGTTTCTGGACTGTAAGATTACCCCTACCCTGTTTTTGTTACAAAACTTCTACCTTTACAATTATGATAGTTGTAATTAGTCATGATAACAATTACTCACTATTGAATTATAAGAATCTTACCCCATCTCTTTCAAGCAGACTCGTCTAGACAAGATGAAAACTATTCAATGGGGAGTCTTTCTTCCCCCCCACACTCTTAAACTAAACTCCCTCTTGAAACCTTGTAAGTCCGTCACTTCATGCCTTTATTGCCCCCTCATTTTAGGTAGCCAGTGTCTAAGTTGCCCGTCCCTATCTACCCTGTATACAGAGGGGACAGCATTGATACTTCATGTGAAGACTCCTTCCCTCTCTGTTGCATACCCTAACTCTTGACACTTTTTAGATATATACCCAGTGCCTGATCCATTCTTCTCTTTGAGTCCGTTTTTACTTGAATCTCTGAAGAACACAATGGTCCCCACTAGTGCCTTTGGCTGTAAGGAATCTTCCATCTTCTTTAGTAAAACTAAACCCTAATTCACCAGATAAAAAAGAGCTATGTTTCCAGCAAGCCAATATGACTCGTGAAGGATTTGGGGTAGAAAGGGCGATGATCAGAGGACCTTTACAAGATCGCCCTGTCTGAAGGGAGAGGTGTGGGGACGAGGAAAAGGCCTGCTTTTGTACTGCATTGGATTCCTAGCACCAAGTCACTCAGGCAACTCGGGGGGATGAGTGGGCAGGGAGATGTGGGTATTCCTGTTTGGAGCGCAGGCATATCCACTTCTTGCGCTGTGGGATAATGCACTGGATTGCAAGGTCGGCGGTTCAAATTCACCAGCTGCTCCCCAGAAACCTTATACAGGGTTGCTATGAGTCACAACTGACTTGAAGGTACTTAACAACAGTCAGTTGTGACTCAGCGACCTTGTATAGATGGGTTTGAACCACCGACCTTGTGATGACTAGTCCAACGCTTATCCAACAGCGCCACACCAGGACGCCTAGAGATCAGTACAGCTGCCAAATACATAAGAAGAGAAGCATGTATTCCAGCCGGCAGAGACTTGAAAATGGGAGAGCAAGGAAGCCTGAGGAATGACAGGAGAGGGATTCCAGAGTCCAAGAGAAGCAGCGTTTGAGGCAGGAAGAGGTACTGTGGACACCGTTCAGAAACAGGATGGATCCCCACTAAAAATTTCCTTTGACTGTCCAGACCAATGGTGCCACACACAACAAGATGCTATGAAAAGGTTTACTGCTTACATAATGAGGCTTTCAGGGAAGACCAGGGAAGGCCTCCCAAGATGGTCAAAAAATGGCTTGAGAGGGAGACTGGCTCAGCTGTTATCATGCTTAGAGGATGGAGTGGGGGCAAGGGTTCCTGTATGTGGTTTGAGTTTCCTATCGGTGCCAAAGCATGGAGCACATTATCAGCGTGCCCAGATGTGGGCAGAGGCGGAAAAGGGTGGGTGAGGCTTAGCAGCCGTCAGCAGTCAGACCTCCCAACATGGAGGCAGACTCTCCTGAAGGGTGGCCAAGCGAGTTGAGAGCTGCTGGGAAGAAGCAGTGAGGACCTTGAGAGCTGCATGGGTGGGAGGCTGAGGAGGCCGGGGCCACAAGCAGCTTCCAAGGTGTGGGGTGGACAAGAGTGGTCTGGCATAGTGTGGTGGGGAGAGGAGCAAGGAGGGAGACTGCTGGGCTTGCTGATGCTAAGAGGGAAAAGACTCTAGCAGCTTCCCACGCTGACCCAGAAGGCGCCAGTGGAGAGAGGAGATGTGGGAGAGAGGGCAAGATGATGGAACAAGGTTCTCAGGTGTAGGCTGCTAGGAAGGAGACCGGGAGACGAACACACTACACAAATTGCCCCCTACTCCCTGAAGACACCTGCTGTGGTTGAATTGTGTCCCCTAAAAAGGTAACTTGGAGTCCTTCCTTACTCCAGCATCTATGAACATAACCTTGTTTGGAACTTGGTTACCGTGAAGTCATACTGGAGTGGGTGCAAACACAAAGGGAAGATGGACAAGTGACTGGAGTGATGTGTCTGCAAGTCAAGAAACACTGAGGAATGCTGGAAGAGGGAAGGAACAAGCCTTCCTCATGGCACTGTACTCGATGGAAACAGTGGTTTGAACTGCAAGGTCAGTGGTTCAAACCCACCAGGCACTCACCTTGGAAACCCTATACAAGTTTGCTGTAAGTTGGAACCGACTCAGTGACACTTTACAACAACAGCAAAGCCTTCCTGGGGAGAACAGCCCTGCCCACACCTGTATTTTGGACTTTTGGCCTCCAGTACGATTTCTATTGCTTTAAGACGCCCCATTTGAGCCACTGGAGTCCTGGTGTGGCGCTGCAAGATAATGCACTGAACTGCAAGGCAGGTGGTGCCAGCCGTTCTTCAGAAACCCTAGACAGAGTTGCTATGAGTCGGAAGCAACTGGACAGCACGTAACAACAACAACAACATTTGAGGCACTTAGCTGGGGCAGCCTCAGGGCATTCAGACATCTGCCCAGGGACCTGCCTTTCCTCTCTGTCTCAAAATGCCTCTTCTCTGGTTCTCTGCAGCTACATCCACCCCCCATTTACTAATATTTCCATTGTGAGGCGAGTCCTCGCTTCATACTAGCCCTCAAGAACTGGCTTTCTGACCCAAGGAGTATTGGAGCTACCCAGGCAGATGAAGAGGTGGTGGTGGTTATGTGCCTCGGAGTCGGTTCTGACTCCTAGCGACCCTGTACAAGGTTTAGGAGGCTGTGAATCTTTACGGGAGCAGAAAGCCTCATCTTTCTCCCGCGGAACAGCTGATAGAAAAACAGCTGACCTTGAGGTTCATTCACAGCCGGGTTCGTAACCACTACACTATCAGAAAAGGAGCTCTGGTGGCATAGTGGTTATGAATCGGGCTGCTAACCTCAAGGTTGGCAGTTCGAAACGACCAGCTGTTCCGTGGGAGAAAGATGAGGCGTTCTGCTCCCGTAAAGATTTGCAGCCTCGGAAACCCTGTGCAGGGTCACTATGAGTGGGAATTGACTCCACGGTCCTTAACAACAACAACACTACCAGAAAGGAGCTCTGGTAGTGTAGTGGTTACGAATCGGGCTGCTAACCTCAAGGTCGGCAGTTCGAAACTACCAACTGTTGCGCGGGAGAAAGATGAGGCTTTCTGCTCTCGTGAAGATTTGCAGTCTCGGAAATCCTGTGCAGGGTCACTATGAGTTGGAACCGACTCCACAGCACACAATCACCATAATCATGCTATCAGAGCTTCCTTAGATTCATGAAGAGGGTAAGGCTGCATTTGGGACAGCGGTGATAGCTGGCAGAATTGAGAGCTCAGAGATCTCGCTGGCTGTGGGTGGGTTCTGACCGGAAAGTCGGAACGCCAGGACCCAGGTAGGTAACCTGCATTTATCTTCATTCATTCATTCTTTCTTTCATACAGGTAAGGGAGCTGTCGCCAGGAGCTCCCAGTCCCAGGATGGAGGAAAGACCAGGAGGGAAGCATGGGGGCCCTGAGGTATGCATTCAGACAGCGACCCTGCACTCACAAGGCCTCTCTGGGCCTGGGGTCCCTAAGAGATGGGCAGTGGGGTAGGCGTTCAGTCCTAGGAGGCGTCCGGAGAAAGGAGGCCTGCAGTGGCCGAGGCTTCCCGTCCTCAGCCACTCTGGACCACTTTGGTCGAACCGCAGAGACCGTGTGGCACGGTCGGAGCTTCCGGGTTCGGTGGGTTCCTGTTACCCGGGACGGGAGAGTGGCTGGACTCCCGGAGGCGGGGCTGGTGGGTTTCAGGGGTGGAGCTCCTGAATGCCGGGGGCGGGGTTCTCTGTTCTCCAAGGCGGTTAGGTGCCTGGACCTCGGAGGCGGGGCTGGCGGCTCCTAGGGGCGGAGGCAGTGGATTTCGGCGTTAGTGCTAGCAATCGCAGGCCTAAGCTCCTGTAGGCCTCGGCGCCTGCGCGTTCCCGTGTGCCCCCGCCTGCTGCCTGCGGGGCGGCCTGACAGGCCGGGGCGGGGCCATGGACGGGGCCATGGGCGGGACCAGCGCGCACGGCGCGGTGGCGCGGGCCTCCTGGAACGGTGGAGCCGGCGTCCGCGCTGGCCCGCCGAGGTTACAGTCCTTCCGGCGGGCCGCGTGGGGCCGCGCGGGCGGAGCCTCATGGAGACTGATCAGCAGGAGAACAGCGGAGACGGGGCGGCGGCGCCACCGGCCGAAGCGAGGGTACACTTTCGAGTGACTAGGTTCATCATGGAGGCAGGTAACCGCAGCCGGGGCGGCAGGCGGGTGGGCCGCACGCGGGGCCCGGAGCCTGGGCCGCGGAAGTGCATGTTCACCGGCGGGAATGCCAGAGGAGGCGCGCCCAAGGCCCGCCCTTAGCCTGACCCCCGAGGGCGCCAGGCGGCCCCTGGGCCGGGGAGTCGGTGGCGCTCCTGGCACACCTGGGCCCTGCAGCCCTCCCGCGCTGGCATTTGGTAGCATTGAGCCGTTGGCGAGGTCCTGTCCCCTGGGGGGACCCGCGTCCTGAATCCTGGCAGGGCGTCCACATGGAGTTGTGCCCTTGCTCCCAAGGGGAGGCTGCCCAACCATCTGAGTCCTGTGGAAAGCCCTGTGTCTCCGGCCAGTGGGAAGAGTGGACCTTTGTTACTTTGTGTGCAGTCTTTGGGGGGTGCAGGGGCCTTAGTGACTCAGCTTCCAAGTCCAGGTGGAGATCGGACCTGATGGGGTGGTGCTGGACCATGGGACCTAGTGATGCTTAGGTTTACTCTGACTTTGAGTAGTTGAAAAGTGGGTTAAGCGGTGATGTCAGTGTCCCCTTCTTCTGACACCTCTGAGAATGAGGGGCCCCATACAGGAATTGTGTGTACCAGTCAAGCTGAGACTTTGAAATGGTCCCCATCCCTTTAGTTATACCCTTAAAGGAATTCTGTGTAGAACACTTTGCAAGTTCCCTTGACCTCTGGGGAAAGCTGGTAACCCCCAGCCCCAAATACGTCCACACCCTGGTCCCCTGAGTCTGTACATGTCACCTTTTTTTAGTAAAAGGAACTTTGCAGATGACACCAAACATCTTAAGATGAGCAGAGCATCTTGGTATCTGAGTTGATCGCAAGGGTCCTGTGAGAGGGCAGCAGGAGACCAGAGTCAGAAGACCGCATGGTGATGAAAGGCACTTGCCCACTGGCTTTGAAATGGTGGAGGGAGGGGAACCAGCCTATCCAACACCTTTCTTTGTGCCCACTGAGACCCATTTCCGATTTCTGACTTCCGGGACTGTAAGAGAATCCATTTATAGTGCCCACCGTTGACTGGGATCACTTGCCATAGCAGCCACCGGGAGCTCATACACCTTCTCAGGGTGTTGTTATTACAGGCTGTCGAGTCAGTTCCGACTCATATTGACCCTGTGCACACCAGAACAAAACATTGCCCAGTTCTGCAGCATCCTCACAATTGCTACAGTAGAGCCCATTGATGAAGTGACTGTACCAATCCGCCGCATTGGGGGTCTTCCTCTTTTTCGCTGTCTCTCCACTTTATCAAGCATGATGTCCTTCTCCAGGGACTGATCCCTCCTGATGACATGTCTGAAGCATTCTGGGTATATTTCTTCCAACGCAGATCTGTTTTGTCGTTCTGGCAGCCCGTGGTACTTTCAATGTTCTCCTCCAACACCATTAACTCAAAAGTATCAATTCTTCCACAGTCTTCCTTATTCACTGTCCAGCTTTCGCATGCATATGAGGTTACTGAAAATACCATGGCTTGGGTCAGGTGAGCCTTAGTCCTCAAGCTGATGTCTTTGCTCTTCAACACTTTAAAAAGGTCTTGTGCAGCAGATTTGCCTAATGCACTACGTCGTTTGTTTTCTTGACTGCTGCTGCTCTGAGTGCTGAGCATGAATCCAAGCAAACTGAAGTCTTTGACAACTTCGATCTTTATTTCTATTTATTTATTGGTCCAGTGGTGGGGATTTTTGTCTTCTTTACATTGATTTAATAAGTATGGTAAAAGAATACAACCCTGATGCACACCTTTCCTAATTTTAAACCATTCAGTTTAATATTCATACTTAATACATTTCATGTTCCAGTTATTAACGGATATTTACAGCTGTTTCTCCTCATTTTGAGTTGTGCCCCATCAGCTGTACTCCATTTGCATCATCAAGGTCGACTCTACTTAGAGGAGGCAGCTCTCCCCAGTTGTGTTTTGAATGCCTTCTAGCCTGAGGGGCTCGTCTTCTGGCACGGCATCTGACAATATTCTGGTGTTTTCCATCATGTGTCAGTATGCAATAATCGGGTGCTGACAGTGCTCCACTGCTGTTCATCAGATTTACAGTGGCTAACTATTCAGAGTCTGCCTCGCCTTCCTAATCTTAATCTGGAGCTCAGCTGAAACCTGTCCACCATGGGTGACCCTGCTAGTATTTAAAATACCAGTGGCATAGCTTCCAGAATCACAGCCACACGCAAACCACCGCAGTGTGGCAAACTGACAGAGAAGTGGTAGCCTTCTTAGTTAGGTGATGCTAAATGGAGTCTACGGTGGCTGCCTTCCACCTTCCTTCATCCATCAATTGACTCTGATTCACCTTCTCTTACGGGTGCTATGGTTAAGTAATGGGCTGTTAACTGCAAGGTTGGCAAGGTCAGTGGTTAAAAACCCTGGGAGAACAATGAGGCTGTCTGCTCCCGGAAAGATTATAGTCTTAGCAATTCGACAGGGCTGCTATAAGTCCATCAGCAATGCCATGCTCCCTCCGAAGACTCTGGGGGCACGTCGGGCCTTGACTTTCTAGCTTCAGATCCTTAGCATGTACCAGCATGACTCTGGCCACATGGTGATTTTCCTTCTGTATCTGACTCATAGCGACACTGAATAGGACTTTGCAAGAGCTGAAAGCCTCATCTTTGTCTCATGAAGCGACTGGTGGGCTTGTAGTTTGCAGTCCAGTGCTTATCCTCTAGAGCCACTGCACACCTGAGAACTGAAATGAGAGTAGGACCCCTGCTAGTCCTAGATGGCTTTATGTTAACTGAGCTGGCAGCATCTTCTGTTTGAAAACAAGGTCAAGTTCATACATGGGCCAGGACTCTGAGTCCCGTTGGTTTGCATTGCTTTGGTCTTGCCCAGAGCTGGCCGTGGCTGTGGCCACTGTGTTTCTCTGGGTGGCCAGGGCTGCCTATAGCAGCGGCACTACTGGCTTTTCTAGCCATTTTGAAGCCCCGGACTAGGAGCCAACAGAGACTGCAGTCTTTCACATCTGGACTTGGGGCATTTGTCTCAGTGGCTCAGAGGCAGGCTTTTGGATCCATCAGGTGTGGGCTGGGCAGCCTCTAGGTGGAAACAAACACACAACTGCCTGTGGGCCTTTCCAAGAGCTTGTCCAAGGCCACTGTGAGCAGCAGGCCAGCATAGTCCTGTGGCCTGGGCCTCAAGAGATGTGTTCTCACTGCAGCGTGGGGCCTGCCCTGGCACATGGTCCCAGTGTCGCCCACCCCCCTGGACTGAGAGAAGGTCCTTCTCATGCCCCTGCCTGCTCCTTCCCGCAGGTGTCAAACTCGGACTGCAGTCCGTGCCCATTGCCACGGCGTGTACCATCTACCACAAGTTCTTCAGCGAGATCGGCCCGGGCGCCTACGACCCCTACCTGATCGCCATGTCCGCCATCTACCTGGCCGGCAAAGTGGAGGAGCAGCACCTACGCACGAGGGACATCATCAATGTGTCCAACCGGTAAATGCTGTAGGGCCACCCTGCGGCCAGCTGGGCTGATAGAGAAAGGACAGGTGGGCCTTGAACCGGAGCTGAAAGCTCCCCCAGCAGAGGTGGGAATAAGCTGATTGTCCAGAGACCAGGGCTGTGAGTGGGCATGGCCCTTTGTGGAGAGCAGAGGCAGTGTGGGACAGGGTGGATGGAAGCAGGTGGCTAGAGGCGAGGAACCACGTTGGGGGCTGCTGTCTTACTGAGGCAGTGTGAGTCCGAATCCCATTGTGACCAGAAAGCAGGCCTGGGGGTGTGTTGGGCGGGGGAGTGCAGGGGTTCAGCCACTCTCGTGTGCTGTGCTGATACCTGCAGTTGAGGAAGCCCAAAAGAAGCCTGCTATTGACTAACTACTGGAAAGTGCCAAACTTGCCATGTGTGACTGACTGCCTTTGCAGGCACCCTCGCGGGAGAGCAGAGTCTTGATTCACAAATAGGTTGCAGAGTGGTCCTGCCCACCTGAACATGACAGGCTGATTGCAAACAGACAAGCCCACGCACTGTGGCTGACCGGGGCAGCGCCCAAGTGCACGGAGGTGGGGGTGGGTACATGAGCGGCATCATCAGCATAGTGGGTTCACAGTGGAGGATTCTGCTCGCTTGCCCATACATCTTGACGAGCTGACGCATACGTGAGTGCTTTGGAAGTACAGACAACACATCAGAAAAGAAGGTTCTGGGAAGTTGAGTCTGTCATTCCTGTGGCCGGCAGAGTGGCAGCCCTAGGCGTGACCATTCCAGGCCAGTCGGCACATTGTGGCTTTGGCTCATGTGAGGCGATGGCAATGTGCCGGCTTTTGCATTGGTCATCTTGCTGGATGAGCCAGGAGCGGCCCCTCTGGGCTGGAAGAAGCCTGTCTCTCTCCGCTGTCGCTTGTGCTCTTCATCCTACACATCAGCTGGAGACTGATAAACAAGATAAGTAAAGGACTCTCACGTTCACCTAGGGCAGAAGGCAGCATTGTTTTCAGCGTGCCTGCGTGTGCCTTCTGGGACTTGCTCTTTCTTTCGAGCTGAACTGTGGTGACTGGCTGCTGTTCCCGCAGGTACTTTCACCCAAGCAGTGAGCCCCTGGAGCTGGATGCCCGCTTCTGGGAGCTCCGAGACAGTATTGTCCAGTGTGAACTGCTCATGCTCCGGGTTTTGCGTTTCCAGGTCTCCTTCCAGCACCCACACAAGGTAGGTGTTCCAACAGAAACCCGTGGTCTTTGTCCTGAAAGTGAGGCTTGAATATTCTCCCCGACTCAGTGTTCTGGGACTGTAGGACCCTCGGAAGCCGTCGCAGAGTTCCTCAAATGACTCTGGGGTATGCAGAGGTTGAACTACAGGGCCAATTTGGGGACCTCTTGGTCCATGTCACCGTGAGTGGCTCTTGGACCTTGGCAATCATGTCCCACTTTAGCTGTGTTTGAAAATGCAGGAGAAAAATCAACTTGCTGAAATTATGGAGTATACTTTTGACTTCAAGCCTCAGTAGGACCATCTATGCAGAGTCGCCATGAGTCAGAAGTGACTCCACGGCACACCACCACCACCAGGACCATGTAGAACAACAGCGACAGGGAAAGGTCAAACTCTTGAGTATATTTGCAAGAGCTCCTGAGAAGTGAGGATTAGAGAGTGACGAGCAGGTATGATGTGGGCTCTAGCTAGGAGTTGGAGACACTCACTTCTCCGTTGCCTTTACTACTTGAGAGGTGGCGGTGGGGCCAGCGGGCAGGGGCTGCATTGGAATTTGTGGCCTTCTGAGAATGTGTACTACTCAGAAGGGCACTGATGGCCTGGTGCTGCGTTACGAGTTGCTTATTCTTTGCCCTTTAGTTGGCACAGGATTCTACGGATTGGGTGGAAAGGGATAGATTGAATTCCTTCCGGTGTGGCATGGTAGCGGCATAGTATTAACTGTGCCACCAGTGGGATGGCTTGTAAGAGCAGAAAATTGCTCTCACGGTTTTGGATACTGGAGTGTCCTTCTGAGGCTCTGAGGGAGCCCCTGCCCCAGGCCTCTCTCCTAGCTCCTGGTGATGGCCAGAGAGCCTTGGTGTTCCTTCCTCTGTGCTCATATGGCTCTCCTTCATCCTGTGTGTGGGTGACTTTTGTCATTCAGGATGAGGACCCATTGTAGCTCAGGGTACCAAGCCCAGCCCACAGACTAAAAGTCACCTTCTAGGACAGATTGGAAGTGCCCCGTGGTGTTCTTACAGAAGTGGACTGCCACATCTGTTTCCCACAGAGCAGCTAGTGGGTTTGAACCGCCAACTGGTAGGTTCAAACAGCTGACCTTTGGGCTTGTAGCCAAGCGCTTAACCACGTCTGACGTCATGCTGACTTCAATGATACATCTGCAAGGATCCTGTTTCCATGAACGGTCATGTTACCAGATTTGGGGGGTTAGGACTTCAGCCTGCCTTTTTGGGGCAACCCAATTCCACCCCATAGCATAGCCCCTGCATTGTGCCTGAGTTCAAGACCTTCAGGAGCTCCTGGTGTGGCTCTGGACACACAGATGGAACACGGTAACCAGAAGTCTGTGGTGGCCTGTAGGATGTGCTGGGTGGTCAGTCAGCTAGGGGCTGGCGGTGGGTAGCAGTGATTTTGGGTCCTTGGGAAGTATATCTGACGTGCTCAAATGGGCCAGGAAGGGTGGGGTGGTGGGCCCACTTAAGGGAGACGTTGAGGTTTTTCTCAGTGATACGGGAGGGGATACAAGCTGATGTGTGTTTTGTAAAGATCTCTGGTAGCGTGGGAAAAAGTGTGGCAGGTGGGCAGGGCCCGAGTGAGGCACAGCCAGTAGGGACGGTGATTGGGACCCCAAGATAGATGAACTCACTCTATGGCTTTTCAGTACCTGCTCCACTACTTGATCTCGCTCAAGAACTGGATGAACCGTTACAGCTGGCAGCGGACACCCATCTCTGTGACGGCCTGGGCCCTGCTTCGGGACAGCTACCATGGCGGGCTCTGCCTCCGCTTCCAGGCACAACACATGGCCGTGGCGGTGCTCCACCTGGCGCTGCAGCTCTATGGCATCGACGTGCCTGCCGACAGCGAGGCACAGAGGCCGTGGTGGCAGGTGAGGCGTTATCCATGGTGGCGTGGCATGCTGTTATCACGGTCTAACTTGATTTACTTGGCACGGCAGGCCCTTGGGCCAGATCCTTCTCTGTGGCTCTCTTGTCATTGAATGTGACCCAGTCGGCAAGTTGCTTGTCTGGCAGGCTGGGGCTGACCTGTGCCTTACGTCCCTGCAGGTGTTTTCGGAAATGAGGGGAGAATTGATGCCCGAGCATGCCTGCTTTTGGCCCCACGGGCACACGTCCTGAGTGTGCCATGCCATATATCCCTGCAGACTTGTCACCTCTCGGCTTGGGACTACACAGGCAGTGATCAAATGGACCCTGCAGAGGAAACTCATATTTCTGAAGACTTTATTTTCCAGGGCGAGATAGCTCAGCCTCCTGAGCCAGTGCTTGGAAGCTTCTAGATCGCCATCTCATCGAGACGTTCTTTGGAGGGTGGTTACAGGCTCTGTCCCTCGGAGGTACCCTGGGTCCCCAGGCCATATCTGCCCAAGGGCTTATTGCTTTGGGTGTCACTTGCCTTGTTGTTGGGGATCCCTAAGACTGCTCCCAGATTCAGCGGTTCGCCAGAAGGACTAGGAAAAGCTTTGAGAATCAAATAGTGACAGTTCAGGAGGAAAGGGAGAAATGACAGTCAGCAAGGGAAGAGGTGCATGGGACAGAGTCTGGGAGAGGCCAGCTGTGAGCGGCCCATGGTCTTCTCCCCAGGGAGCTGTGTGGGCCTAGCTTCTCCCAGCAACCGCGTGTGCCCAGCCAGGGAAACTTAGTGGGCTTTGCTGTCTAGGATTTTCACTGGTGGTCAGTTACTTCAGCATGGAACACCCACGTGACTGACCTTAGCCCCCCTCCCCCCCCCCAGAGGACAAGCAGATGCCATGATGACCCCAGGCCCCCACCATGAGTCCCATTGTGAGCATCCAGGCTCAAGCTTCTGGCTCAGCTCTGTGTGGCCTTGGACAAATCCCCTCTCCTCTGTGGGTTCCATCTGGAATGGGCTCTGCTTTAAGTCTGTGGCCTTTAGCTGGACCGCCACTGGCCTTGCAGGAGAAGCAGTTTGGCACTTGGTAGCCAATCCTCGGGCCCTCCTTTTGCTGATGAAATGCAGTCCTTGGCTTACTGGTCGGTGACCTGGTTTGGCCCAGAGTGAGTCTAATCAGCGCCTGTTTTCCTTCTTCTTTCTAGGTGTTTAGTGAGGACCTTACCAAGCCAGTCATTGATAACATTGTGTCTGATCTCATTCAGATTTATACCATGGACACAGAGATCCCATAAGGCACTGGTCCAGGCCTGTCCAAAGAGAAACGCAATGCTTGGCTGTGTGCCAGGCTAGCTGGGGACAGCTCCACCAAATCGCCATGCAGGCCCATCCCCAGAGGACTGGCTGGAGCTGGCTGATGGAGGCACTTTGATCTGGGGCTTGGCGGCCCTTCCCAGCCACACGCCAGATGAAGACCATCGTGTGGGCAGATCCAGTGCAGGCCCTGAGTGTGGTGGTGTCCTTTCACGAGGGTTCAGACTGCATGTGAGTGGGCCTTCTTCATGGAGAGAGAGGGAGGAAAATCACAGGCGCCGATTTGACTGTACGCCCTGGGGCTTCTTCAAACCCACCTTTATAGGAAGCCTGACTGCGCAACACATAGAAATTGTATTTTGTTTAATAAAAGACGGTACAAACATCACCGACACCCTGTCTGCTCTGTGGCTCACACGGCCTTTCGACGTTCACCGCACCCAGGCCCCATGTCACGCTCCTCTTGTTATTGGGCAGGCAGGCAGGCAGGCAGGCAGGCAGGCAGGCAGGCAGGCAGGCCGGCCAGACTTTCTGTTAAGTGCTGCTGAGTTGGTTCTGGCTGATAGAGACCATGTGTAGGGTTTCCAAGGTGTGGCTGATGGGTTGAGCTGCCAGCCTTGCAGTTAGCAGTCCAGTGCTTATCCTACAGCGCCACACCAGAACTCCATTAGGCCAGACTTCTTGGTAAGTGCCATTGGGTCGGCTCGGACTCAGAGTTTCTGAGGAGCGACTGGTAGGTTTGAACTGTTGAGGTTTTCCTTCAAAGCAACCTTGTGGCCCAGTGCGTGCCCTATAGCACCACACCAGGACTCCAGGGCAGACTTAGGAAATAACATTTTGGTTCAAAAAGGCCAGAACTGACTACAATGTTGTGAGTTTGGACCTTGTGATTCAAACCGACTTTGTGGTCCAGAACTTACCCTGCAGTGCCACCAGGGTGAGGGTTTTCATGGCCAGGCAGCAGCATAGCATAAGGGGCCCAGAGACATGTGCAGCCCTTCCGGCCCTTTGTCTCCAGAGAATGAGACTCACACACCTTTCCAGAGAAGAGAGCCCTCCCCCACCTTCATCAAGCCCCTTGCCATAGGGTAAGGGAGAGACCTGCAGGCTTGGTTAGTGTGATAGAACCAGAGGAGGAGGCCATGTGGGGGTCGGCTCTGGGGACTGAAGTTTCGCTGGTAGGGCAGGCTAGTGAGGTTCCCCGTTTCCTGGGGCCTGGCTCATTTGAGTAGCTCTCGGATTCAGGGTATCTGGGCTCCAGAACAGGGTCAGCCTGAGAAGGAGGGTGGAATGGGGCCAGAGAGGACTATCACGTGCGGGCTGGAAGAAGAGGGGAAGGAGTTTGAAGAAGAGTTGCAGCTCTCCTAGTGGGCAACCCGGCCTGTGGAGGTGACTTAGTACATTTTTGAGGCCATTCATTCAACGGTAGTTTTTCTTTTTTAAAATGACAATTCACACCCAGTAATACACTGGACCACAAGGTCAGTGTGAGCTACAGGATTGGCAGTTCAATCCCAGCAGCCATTCCTCGGAAACCGATACCGTGTTGCCGAGTTAGAACCCACTGGATGGTACGTACAAGCTTCACGTTCTTGCTTGCAGTTCCCACAATGTGACCTCACTTCCTCCCTGTGTTTCCCGTTTCCATTCTTCATTCTCCTCACCCTTCTGAACGTTTTTCCAGCACCATTGCTGGAACCTCGACTGTGTGCCAAGGATGTTCTAAGCTGGAAGGACAGCAGTAGACTGAACAGGTCAAACCGTCTGTTGCCTCATGGCACAGTCTTCGTTTGGAGGTGGGGGGCAGGCCCTGGCTCCAGGGATTTCCAGCTCTCTGCAGAAGTGGACTGGGTGCCCTGTAAGATCTCTCCTAACCCTAGCTGCCTGACTCCAATGTCACTGAGGTTTCTGCGGCCTCCTTGGTTGCCAGGCTTCATGCCAGGAAAGCCCAGAGGGGCCTGTGAGAGAGGGATGGCGCTGCTAGCGTGGTCTCCAGCACTTTCCAGCTGGGGTCTGACAGGCAGGGAAACCAGGTCATTTCCCCGGGACCCATATGGCTAGCCGTGTGCTTGCTAAGGAGGCTGGAGCGCAGCAGACAAGCCAAGAAGGAAGGGTGAGGAGGGCAAAGTCCTGCCCAGCCCCCTTGGCAAATGCGCCACTCTGAGGCTTCCTCCACCCCTAACTTTTAAGCGAGTTGGTCCCAATCAGTCTTTTGGGTTGGATAGAGGGGCTGTTGGTTCCCCCTTTCTACTGTGATTGCTTCCACAACTGTCACCTTTGGTCATCGCTGGGGCTCCTGCATGTTTCTGATGACCCAGTCTTGAGTGTGTAGTCTTTTGCACAATGCTAAAGGTACTGGAAAACGTGTGATATGCATGGGGAACCGTGTGACCCACCAGCCCCTGTCAGCATGATTTACTGCCAAACCCAACTTTTGGTCTGTCTCCCAGCCCCTGTGGACGAGTGTGGCCAAGGTCTTCCCCGGAAGCTGGTTTCTCTGCATTGCTGTGGTTGAACTGTGTCTCCCTGAAGGTAACATTGAAGTTTGAACCCTGGTCCCCGTGAACATGGTCTTGTGTGGAATAATAGGTCAGATGAGTGGTGTCCTGGTTGATGAGAAGAGACAGGCAGACAGACAGGAGGAAGATGGCCACATGAAGACACATCTCCGTGCCAAGCTGCCTGGGCCCACCAGGAGCAGGGCGAGATGAGGAAGGCTGCTCCCTAGAGCCTTCCCAGGGAGCAGGGCTTTACCAACACTCGGAAGTTGGACTCCCAGCTCCCAGAACTGAGAGGATCCAATCCTGTTGGGATAAGCCACACACTTGGCAGCCATTTGTTGCGGCAGCCCCAGGAAGTGATTCCAGAAGGATTTGGCCCGTCTCTTCCTCCTGGCTGCCCCTTCACTCCTGGGATTTGGTTTTGTGTCAGGCTGGGTCTTGTCCCATTTGCTGGCCTCCAGCTATGTGGTTAAGTGCTTGGTTTTTTCCCATGGAAACCTGTGTCAGATGGCGGAAGTAAATGAACAAGAGACACAAATTCACAATTCTGTTGGGGAAGCAGACGTGACATAAGGTGCCAGGTATCGCGATGAGAAATCTGACTCAACACAGCCCACTCAGCCTTGGCATCAATATTGACTGGCGCATGAGTGGAGCCAAAGCTCCCTGGATTTGTTTCCTGGTGGCTGCTAATTGTCATGGTACCTTTTGAGGACTCCCAGACTCGAGTTATTGAAAGGGGACTGTACAACCCTTTGCTGCTTTCTTGGCAGCAACACCCCTGAAAAATGTGTCCTTTGGCGATGTGTGGACCAGAGGAACACCAATAACAGTGGAACAGGCAACTGTGGTGGCAGCCATTGCTTTCCCTCCTCAGCACCGATGGGTGGGGGCCCACAGGTGTTCAAACACACCAGATCAGTCCAGGGGACAAACGATAGGTTAAGTGAGGGACAGGCATCATGGGGTTTCTTGGATGGCTTTAGATGCGAGAGGAAGCCTGCCTAGTGTAATGGGTACTAGCTCGGACAGCTGCTTGGACACTTCCAGTCACAACAGAGAATTGACCAGTGGTCCAGACCAACCTCTGAGTCCTGTCCCCCCGATACCCTGTGACACTAGTGGCCGAGGTCATAAAGAACACATGACACATTACCCAGACTGTAGGAGCGTCTTTTTTTTTTTTTTTAATACACAGAAATCTTGGTCTAGTCTTTAAATTAGTAAACTCAACTACAGACTTTAAATGATGATGCATCAGTGGTCTTTCTCATTAAGAGAATTTGTCTTTTTAACAGGCAGATAAAAACGTAAGACATATTTAATGACTGAACACAGTTGACCAAGCCATTCCATATAATATAGTGCTTTGTAATGAGGGCCCTTCTGGGTCCCACGGCTTGAAACTGTACAAGACCCAAGGCCACAGACTGAGGCCATGGTGCCTCCCGGCCCCTGTCCTCACCCACATCCCAGCGGGGAGGCAGCCTTGCGCCAGGCAGCTTTATACAGCAGCAGCGAGAGCGGGGTGGATACATGTCTGCCGTCTACTCTGCTCAGCGTCCACAACGGCCAGTTGAAGTCTTGTTTAAGAACACGTAGCCCCTCAGCAAGCTGAGTTGCCTTTCTTGTTGTTGTTTAAACAAGGACATCAGGGAACAATTTACAGATGGGTGACATTCTCAATGTGCCCTTTAGAAAAAAAGGGATGGCTTTAAATGATCTGTAGCTGGCATCGAAAGTGGGCTTTTTGTGTCCAACAGAAATTCTTCTGCCCGAGCTCTGACACCCCCCCGCCCTCTCAGAAGTGACACTGGATTGAGGGAGCAGTGGGCACCGAGCTAGTTTCTGTGTGGCTGGGACAAGCCCTCTGTGATGTGGGTGTGGTGGGAGATCACTCTTCTTCTGAGGGGCCGATCTGCACCTGTACTTCTGTCTGGCCTGGCCCCTCAGCTTGTCTCCCAAGCCCAGAATGGGAATAACCACCAGACCACAGGAGTGAGAGTCGCCTGTTCATGTGGTACCTGGTATTGGCTTGACTTGAGCAACAACACTTCCACCGACCCTCGAGGGTTCTGCTTCCTGGTGTCGCCCCAAGTATCCTATGTGCGTGTTCATGGGATGAAAAGTCAGTGGTCAGAGGAGCGCTTTGGTGGTGGCGTCTGAGGGCTGTTCTCAGTCACTTTGTGGGCACCTGGCACTCAGGGAGAACTTCTTGGCATTTGCCAAAGCTGGAGTCTAAGGAGATGGGCTGAACAGCAGCCATCTTGACCCATTCTCCCGGGCAGCTCCTTGTGTGTGTGAATGTGACCTCCAGTAAGTGCAGACTCCTTTGGACTTAGCATTGGAGGAGGATGTTTATGAACTGTACTGAGGGTGAGCTTGCCTCCCCTGGTGGTCTCTTACACAGCCTCACCAGCCCCCAGGATTCTAGATCGTTCCATCTGGGTCAAGTGCAGCTGTATTGAGGGGGTGCAGAC